TCACGCAGGCCCAGCCTCACAGGCCCAGCCCCAGGTACACAGGCCCAGCCTCAGGCACACAGGCCCAGCCTCACAGGCCCAGCCTCAGGTACACAGGCCCAGCCTCAGGTACACAGGCCCAGCCTCACACAGGCCCAGCCTCACACAGGCCCAGCCTCACAGGCCCAGCCTCAGGTACACAGGCCCAGCCTCACACAGGCCCAGCCTCACAGGCCCAGCCTCAGGTACACAGGCCCAGCCTCAGGTACACAGTCCCAGCCTCACAGGCCCAGCCTCAGGCACACAGGCCCAGCCTCACAGGCCCAGCCTCAGGTACACAGGCCCAGCCTCAGGTGCACAGGCCCAGCCTCAGGTACACAGGTCCAGCCTCACACAGGCCCAGCCTCACAGGCCCAGCCTCAGGTACACAGGCCCAGCCTCAGGTACACAGGCCCAGCCTCACAGGCCCAGCCTCAGGTACACAGGCCCAGCCTCAGGTACACAGGCCCAGCCTCAGGTGCACAGGCCCAGCCTCAGGTACACAGGTCCAGCCTCACACAGGCCCAGCCTCACAGGCCCAGCCTCAGGTACACAGGCCCAGCCTCAGGTACACAGGCCCAGCCTCACAGGCCCAGCCTCAGGTACACAGGCCCAGCCTCAGGTACACAGGCCCAGCCTCAGGTGCACAGGCCCAGCCTCAGGTACACAGGTCCAGCCTCACACAGGCCCAGCCTCACAGGCCCAGCCTCAGGTACACAGGCCCAGCCCCACACAGGGCCTGCCTCAGCACTAATAACATGTACCCACTCTTCGCACGATAGCATGCATCGCATGCCACAGACTATACACCATATGATGTCGGCTTTATCTGGCTGGGATACTTAAGCGTCCCGCTTTTACTTCTGAGGACCCTTCCTCTTTGGTCTTGCCGTCTGTGTTTGGCTGGCTCTTGTTTCTTCGCCGCCATTACTTCCAGAACTTTCTTTATTAGAGATGAGGTGAAAAAGAGGCTTGTTACGCATGCGACATCTTTTTGCCTCCTCAGCTTTAGAGTGGCGCGGAGTTTTTCCGGGATGGCCGCAGTTGCTGGCTGCTCAATGACATCCGCAGATTCGTGGGTCAACTCCACCGCGTCATCGGTGATGATGATTGCTGTGACGCTCGAGAGTCCCGTAGAACTGCCCGCCACGGCGTTGTCTTCTGTGGCTTCGTCACCATCATCCCCGCAATTCACGTCGCGCACAGGCTACGTCACCGACAGCTCCAGCTCCTAAGCAGATTGGTCCCAGGTCTGGATACTGCTGTTGGACCCGGGAGCATCATCCTCTTCCTCCTTTTCGGTCGGCTGCGATGACGCTAAGTCATCATAATTAAAGACCACTGCGTCACAGGGCCATGCCCCGGAGGCTCTGAAGTCGTTAATGGCCCGATCGCTCGGGGCAGATGTTGAGTAGGCGGTGTAGAAGATCTGGGCCACGTCGTACTCCGTCACGCGCCTTCCGGGATTGGCACGCATACAGCTATCCCCCGCATTGCTGCAGGCCTTCTTTAATGACTTGAATACCGTTACATCCAGCGTTTGCACGCGGTGAGTGGAGTGCAGTTCAAGTGGGATTATTGTCACGCCGTTTTTCCAAGCCAATTCGACAACATGTAGCGACTTATGGCAATGACGGTCATCGAGGATGATGACGTGCTTGCCCTCTACTGATGGCTTCACCACCGTCATGAAGTAGCGAAACGTCCGGAAACCTGATTGGTTCAGCCGGACTTCGTGCTGGCTCCCACTGAGCCTTGCGGCGCACCAGTCATTTGACTTGGCAATGATACGTTTATACATTCATCTCCATCCTGCCGAAGATAAAGACGGGAGATAAGTACATGTCAGCAGAGTTACGACCGTTTTGCCGCGTTTTCCGCTGGTCGTTTTGCCCAGTCTTTCACACCATTTGAAGCTGTTATCTTGTCCGACTTGTTTACAGTAGTCACACCGCTCTCACCCATATTCTAAATTGACATTGGTATTCGCCGCCGTTCAGGACTGACTTGTGTACCCCCTAGAATTTCTGGACCTAGGGCCTGTTAAACCCCACGGCTCTGGTGATGGTAGTTGTCTCGAGACATCTAATTGTCAGCTCTGGGTGACGACGCAACAATCCCTGCAACCAATTTTTCTCAGCCATTCTCGCTTCTTCTCGGATCGAACTCCGATGATCTTTTCATCTTTTCAGTAAACTCGTGTGCTATACGCCGTACGTTCAAAGATGTGAGGCCAAAAAGAAGCTTCTCCTTTGTTTTAATCTCGTAGACCAATTGCTTCACCATTTCTTTAGGAATGTCTGACAACCATCCGAGACACGCTGGTGCCTAGACGTTTTTGTGTCCGTGACGATGCAAGGTTTCTCTCGGTATTTTGTGCGTCTTGGAGACCTTATGTAGCGAAGATCCACTATGGATGGTTTGAAGAGCTTTCACGAGACTGTCTTGGCCATACCCCCCTCGGTCCGATGGCCCGGCTCTCGATCGGGCCATAGATGGTGCTGGTCAGAACATGACAGATGGGAAAAGGTCAGGACATGGTATGAACAAATAGGATGATAACCTGTGGGAAGGCTGCTGTGACAATGCATTGACTGGATAGCTGAGTGTGCAGTATAGTTGCACGATCGGAAGTCAATTAGTGCGTTGGTAGGAATAGGGGTGGGAGCTAAGTCTCTAAGTTTCCTTCCCCCTAACTTTTTTCTGAAAGGAGGATAATGGTGGCGTGAAGCATGGCCAAATTTTAGGCAACTAATCCCAAACAATTTGTGTGTTGTTACACATAAGAATTACAAGAACCACATGATTATTACGAACATATTCAATGGAAGTGCACCTGGAAATGTATTCGCACACTTCGTTCCTTCATTTCGGAGCGTAACACAATCGTTGAAAATGCCAGAGATAGGCTGCAAAGTATAGAGATTAACGTTTTCGAAAAATAATGTTTACTAAGAACCATTTTCGGTGAATTTGAAATTGAAAAAGGTATAGAGTTAATGTTCAAGTGTCAAATAATCGTTGGGGAAAAACGACCCGTGGGGCGTCTTTACCCATCGTTATAGGGGTATCTTTCCCACCCATACCGAAATTAGGTCAAGCGTAACGAGCGGAGATTACACAATCATGATGCGCTGACAAACAACATCGGAAACGAGCAAAATATGTGATAATCTGCGACCCAAAGTCAAACAATATGCAAACACGCTATTTTGCCAAGTATTGCCACTTTATTGGTCCATTCTTCTTTCCACAAGGCTGAATGCCCGGCTCATGGTTGCATTATATAACCAAATTTTTAAAAAGTAAGCAAAGATGTCCTCTGCCTCAGATGAGGAGCTTCACATTCGTGCTTTAGTTTCCAAATCAGTCAATACGGGGATGGGACGTCTTACCCGCCGGGCATCTTACCCCACTCTCCCCCAACTTTCGAATGCTTCTTGAAGTTAATTAGCACGTTTTTCGGGAAAACTGCATCACAGACTTCGTCTGTACAATTTCCATATCGATATTCCGAACAGATTAGCAGTTACGCCACAACAAGCATTTCAATATTGGGAGTGTTTTCTATTCGTGTTGGTATAACTGCTCATCCGATCGAAGAAACAATATGGAGATTGTACAAGGAAAATAAACGGCCAATGATACTATGTTTACGCACCCAAAAAATATAAAGTGGCCGAAGGTACCACTTTCCGGTGCGCGGGGGGGGGAGGCGGGGTTTCATCCGCGTCAGGTCGCCACCTAGCGTTAACAGCAACGAAAGCCGTCCAAAAGACGGAGACTGCAATGCCGGATGTCCGTATCCTTGCGATAAAAGATGGCGTGCGCGCATGCTCTAACTCATTCTCACCACTTTTACCGCTCCATTCTGAAAAAAGCACACATCCCAGGCGAACATGGATTGGCTATGCCGATACCACAAATAGTCTATCAATTATCAACTGATAGGTCCTAGATAAAATGACGACTTGTGATGGCGTGCTAATTCGTGGTGTTTAAGTTCCTACCACTGACCGAGATTAGTTTGCGCTATTTATGCAATACAAAATTTCAATCCAACTGGGATGAAAGCCCAGGACCAAAAGACGACCGATCGCTTTGTTGATGTTTCCTGAGGTGCCACCTGAATTTGAATCCCAGAGATACGAAAATAAAAGTAATGGAAAGAAAATTAAATGTCCGTAATCGAATATTTATATCCGGAATATCAGCAGTTAAACATAAGGCGCTCGAGCCAGTAAATGCTTGTGATTATCTTTTGCCTCGTTCTTTTCCACGGTAAAGTTCAACAACATGGCCTGAGGGAAGATTCTAAGCTTAGTAATCGTGGGAAGATTCTGACCTGGACACTCTCAGGATACATGAAAACAATATTTTACAAAATATTGATTTTTTCAATACTTTCTCCGATCTGCTATGCCATCACGGTAGCGTGAAGTACTCGCAAATATGTTTTGGCCACATTCTGGACGCCACGCATTACGTTTCTTGTCGGCTTTTTTGCCCAGTTGGCAGCCCTTTGCAGCATTTTAAAAACGTCATGCCAGCCATTCTTTTCTCTACCGTTCAAGTTCAATTTTCTGGTCGTTCGATTCCAGCCGTTTCGATATTATTTCAATGAAAGAGTAAATTTGCGTCTGTTCAATTGAAGTATGTGATGTGTTATGATGGGATAATCTACTGTCGCTAAATATTTTTCTCCGTCTCCACATATTTGAGGACCCCATTACTGATATTCACGTAGGCATTGCGCGAGGTTTATATCTGCTTGTTAGCCAAGTAAGTTACCTATTACAGGTAGGAAACGGATTGCCAGCTATGTACAGCCATGCATCATTTGTCATCTGAAGTGAACGTAATCTAGTGAATATAATTGCCAACCATATACTAGCCGTAATCATCGGTCGTTCGAAGCGAGTGCAGTCAAATGGATACGTTCATTGATACCTGATGAGGAGTATTTAAAGTAGCCAGTTCGAAGCATTGGGAGTCTCCAAGATGGTAAGTTTTTCTCTGAGATGAAATTTTTCTAACTACAGATCTGTCATGAATGCATGCTGGAAAGGCACTCAGGTGCATATGTTCGGCCTTTGTCCGACAATGGCGCTTTTGCTTATTAAATTGCAAATGCGTGTTGGCTTTTAAATAAAGCAATGCGTATACAACACGCAAATACGAAAGGCAGCGCGATAAACATGATTAATTTGAAACGTTGCCACCTACCATTGGGTCGCGTAGATTTGCTCACAAGTACGATTTTGTATCCAGTTGCGGTGCACGTCTACTGGACTCCAGTTTCTTTGTTGTAAACAAATTTGGACAAGCCGGCATGAAAAGGATGGAGGCGGTCACAACAAGCGTCAATAAGATTGTCATATTCAAGACATTTCACCTCTTAAAGGTGCCCGATCCGGCAATTGTCACATTTTGCCCTGCATTCTCCGCCGATGGCTGTTTGTAGATTGCAATGGTCATGCGGTTATAATTGCTTTAATGAAACCTGCTTGCGAGCATGGAGTACATTCATTACTCAAAAACTGTTTTCAAGATATGTAACATGGATATTCATTTATTGTAGCCAGGTCGGTTAAACGCTGTGTCCGCCAAGAGTCCGCAGCGTCCTTAACGGTCTAACGTCTTTTTCAGGCTTCGAGAAAGAACAGCCGGAAACTCAGCGTTCAGGCATCGACAGCCATCGTAAACAAACCCAAGTCCAGCCAACGAGACCTGGACGAACTAAAACGCGAGCTTGAACTTGACGAACACACCATACCTATCGAGGAATTATGCTCAAGATTGCATACAGATCCACATCAAGGCTTGACAGATCAACAAGCAGCTAACAACCTCGCTCGTGACGGGCTAAATGCACTTACGCCACCGAAAAAAACACCAGAATGGGTCAAGTTCTGCGAGAACATGTTCTATGGTTTTTCAATGCTTCTTTGGGTGGGAGCGGTGCTCTGCTTTAGCGTATACGGGGCTGAAAGCGCAACCAAAGATCATGTGCCTCCTGACAATTTTTATGTAGGCGTTGTTTTGACCGGCGTTGTGGTAGTCACCGGTATATTTTCTTACTACCAAGAGAGAAAGAGCTCAAAAATAATGGAATCATTCAAAAACCTCGTACCACATACAGCAAATGTAGTTCGCAACGGAAAGCCCCAAAATGTCAAGGCAGAAACACTGGTTGTGGGGGATGTCGTTGACGTCAAGTTTGGAGACCGCGTTCCAGCGGACATAAGGATCTTGGAAGCACATGGCATGAAGGTCGACAACTCATCCCTCACAGGCGAGTCGGAAGCCCAGTCTCGATCGCCTGAGTCGACCAGCGAAAATCCGTTGGAGACCAAGAACCTAGCCTTCTTCTCAACAAACGCTGTGGAGGGCACATGCCGCGGGATTGTGATAAACATCGGAGACAACACGGTCATGGGGCGCATCGCCGGACTAACATCTGGGCTTGATTCGGGCAAGACTCCAATCGCTATCGAAATCGAACACTTTATTCACATCATCACAGCCGTAGCCGTGTTTCTCGGGGTGACTTTCTTCATTGTTGCACTTGTGCTTAAATATCAGTTTGTGGACGCCGTCATTTTTCTGATCGGCATAATCGTGGCGAACGTGCCCGAAGGCCTTCTGGTCACTGTCACTGTTTGCCTGACACTCACAGCAAAACGAATGGCTCAAAAGAACTGTTTGGTTAAAAACCTTGAGGCGGTTGAGACACTAGGATCTACATCTACTATATGTTCGGATAAAACAGGAACACTTACTCAGAACCGAATGACCGTCGCACACATTTGGATGGATGGACGCATTAAAAAAACAGACACCACGGAAGATCAGTCGGGGGCGAAGGTTGACAATACAGCAGCCGGCTGGCCTGCACTGTCCCGTGTGTGCATGCTTTGTAATCGTGCCGAGTTTGCGCAGGACCAGGAAAACGTGTCGATCATGCACAGAAAAATTAACGGCGATGCCTCTGAGTCAGCCATTCTTAAGTTCACGGAAAGTGCGTGTGGTAATGTCATGGATTATCGCGAGAAGTATCCGAAGGTGTGTGAGATCCCCTTTAATTCCGTCAACAAGTACCAAGTGAGCATTCATGACGTCAACGGCGAGGTCACTGACGAAGATGGCAAGGAGTGTAATTACCTCTTGGTGATGAAAGGCGCTCCGGAGCGGGTCCTCGACCGCTGTACAAAAATCCACTTCCATGGCAGAGACGTCAGTCTCAACAACAAGTGGAAAGGCAGATTCAACAAAGCCTATATGGAGTTAGGCGGCATGGGAGAGCGCGTCCTGGGCTTCTGTGACCTGGCCCTGCCGGCCGAGATGTTCCCCCGCGGCTACGAGTTTGACGGCGAGGAGGAGAACTTCCCTCTGGACGGACTGCGGTTCGTCGGCCTGGTGTCCATGATAGACCCGCCCCGAGCCGCCGTGCCGGACGCCGTCGCCAAGTGCCGATCGGCCGGCATCAAGGTGTTCATGGTGACCGGCGACCACCCAATCACAGCCAAGGCCATCGCACGCTCGGTCGGCATCATCTCGCCGCAGAGCTACACCATCGAAGAGCTGGTGGTGCGCATGCGCTGCAAGGCCGAGGACATTGACCCGCGCCTGGCCAAGGCCGCCGTCATCCACGGCGGCCAGCTGAAGGACATGAATGACGCCGACATCGACTCAGTGCTGCACGACCACCAGGAGATTGTGTTCGCCCGCACGTCACCGCAGCAGAAGCTGATTATAGTCGAGGGCTGCCAGCGCGCCGGCGCTGTTGTGGCCGTGACTGGCGATGGCGTTAACGACTCGCCAGCGCTGAAAAGGGGTGACATCGGCGTCGCCATGGGTATAGCCGGCTCGGACGTCTCTAAGCAGGCCGCCGACATGATTCTGCTGGACGATAACTTCGCCTCCATCGTCACCGGCGTGGAGGAAGGTCGCCTGATCTTCGACAACCTCAAGAAATCGATCGCCTACACGCTGACTTCGAACATACCCGAGATTTCGCCGTTTCTGTTTTACATGGTCGGCGGAGTGCCGCTTCCCCTAGGCACCGTCACCATCCTCTGTATTGACCTCGGCACTGACATGGTGCCGGCCATCTCGTTCGCTTACGAATCAGCCGAGTCGGACATCATGAAGCGCATGCCTCGCGACAAGCACCTAGACCGTCTGGTGAACGAGCGACTCATCTCCATGGCGTACGGCCAGATCGGGATGATCCAGGCTGCGGCCGGCTTCTTCACGTGGGTCGTCATCCTGGCTGAACACGGCTTCCTGCCGTACGACCTGTTCGGGCTGCGGGTAATGTGGGAGGCGCGCACTCTGGACGATCTGAAAGACTCGTACGGCCAGGAGTGGACCTACGTGGACAGGAAGAAGCTGGAGCACACTACTCAGACGGCATTCTTCGTCTCCATCGTGATCGTGCAATGGGCGGATGCCATCATTTGCAAGACCAGACGCAACTCCATTTTCACGCACAAAATGAAGAACGGAATGTTCAACTTCGGGCTGGTGTTCGAGACGCTGATCGCTTGCGCACTCAGCTACTGTCCGGGTACGGACACGCTCTTCAAGATGTACCCACTGCGCTGGAACTGGTGGATCACGGCGGTGCCGTTCTCGCTCCTGATCTGGACCTACGACGAGTGTCGGCGCTACACCCTGCGAACAATACCAGGCGGCTGGTGCGAAAAGGAGACCTACTACTGAAGCAGCCTAAGAGGGCGGTGCGGGGCATGGCAGTGGCTGCAGCCACAGGCATACGCAGTCAGCGTTCTAGAAGGTGCCCGGCCATGAATAATTGGTCGTTATCTAGCACAAAATAGCAAGATCGGTTGAAAGAAATGACACCTGTTGCATTTGTGACGCAAAAGGTTATCCTGTTCCACTGATCGCCGGAGGGTAATGTTTGTGCTTACAGGTCTTATTGATCATTGGAGACGTCGGTTGCAGACAATATCAGGCTAGGCGATTGTCCGACAGAGAGGACCGGGGAAGGATACCTGCAGCAAGAATTAAAGTGGCATGATCTGCTTGGATATGTGACGGTATGGTTAACTACGCTCAAATATCACTGTTCGTTAAGCTCGCAACAAAGGAGCGATTACAAAAGCTATTGCTGGTCATCTGAGAATGTTTTGTTATTCCCAGGCTGAGCTGAGCCTTGTTATACATGACTGGGGATCTTATCATTCTGTGCATTGTTTTCAAGGTTCCGGCGAAGCACAGTACAGGAGTAAAGGTGCAACCATGCCCTCGTCGTTGCATAAAGGATTAATGAATACAATATTAAGGCTAATGGGTGTCTATTTCTCAATATGATTGCGGGGGGGGGGGGGGGCAGAGGGTTGAAAGCCGCCGTAAGGGGACAGACACGAAAAGCCTGTCGGATATCTTCCACTTAGGCTGTGGTTTTATGGCTATTCGTAAGGCATACATAACCCACACTTACTGCATTGCTTATGCGCGGAACTAAGGCTCATGTACAAAGCTACAGCAATCGCATTGCCTGGCAGTTCGTACCACCTTCTTATAAACGTACTTAGGTAGTTTTTGTGATCTAATTATTCATGTATCCACAAGCGAAGAGCGTCCACAACATTTGTGGCTATCACAACCAGCTCACGCAAAGGTGTCCAATGGTAAAAAGCTGGGGCAGAGTCAACAAGGCGTATCAACCGTGCAATTAAAAGCGCGCAGGATGCAGGAAAAACATGACATACTCCATTACGCAGGGCACGAAGTGAAGTTTTAAAAGTGTGACTGGCTCGGTCAGCTCCCTTCAACTGAACGTGACACCGCAGTTTGCATTTTCGCTTTTCCTTTACCAACGAAGCAATTTTTAGAAACATTCTTTACAATTGATGCAAGTTGACCTACCATCTTTAATGTCGTGCCCGTGCTTGGGCTGCTGAATGCTCGGGAGCCAAATTAACCGTTGAGGGGTAGGGGGGCAAATTGGACATTGCAGGGAGGGGAAGGGCAGTGGTCCACCTAAAAAATGTAAATCAACACCCGCGGTGTTTTATGTCTCCATGGTGGGTGACCACCGGGCACCCCGCTTCGACTATATTGCAGTAAGCGAAGGTCATAGAATCCGTTGCCAGGCTTGGCAAAAGTCAGAAGTGTTTTAAAATAACGCTGACATACAAAAAATAATATCCTGCGGGGGGGGGGGAGCTTGTCTAAGTAAATGCAAAGCTCCAGCCATGATATCTCCGTCCACTATAGCACAGACAAAAACAAGATGCGTTACCATCAGTAACGTAACGTGACGCATCTGACACTTGTATTGCCATGAGCGGAGCCCTGCACAATTCATGAGAGTGGATGGCGAAAGACTAGGCTTACTGGTGAGCAAGAGGAGGAGGAAGGGAGAGGGGGAGGGGGGAGGGGGCAGCCCAGCTCGTCCGGATACAGTGCCCCGACCGCCATATTTGCTGTTCGTTCTGGCAAACGCAAAAGCTACTCATGAGTATCAGCACAGTGACGTAAGACCAATGACCCCTTACGACATACAGAATGATGGTTGATCTGCCGTTCCTTTCATGTAATCAATACCGTGGTGTCCCTTGAGCCGCATCGAAGTTTAAACCAACTAAGCGGCGTTGCTAACGTAAAGCCCCTGCCAGATATTAAAAATGGAATAAGTCTGGACGCAGGCGCCGGGTCTAGGTGAAATTTGGTCCGGATATGGATATGGCTAAGCCCGGATAAACGCATGTCCATTTAATTAAATTACCTGTTGCATATCGCTGAATACTACATAAATACCTGAAAACCGTCTCAAAAAGCTAACAAATTTTAATTGCCATTCACCTAGGAAGCCCACAACATGCAAGATTTAGTTTGGTATGGACTGATGCAGAATTTTGCTGGATTCGAATTTCTCTCACGCTCTCTACAGTGTTGCAATTGTAGCATGATTATTTACATCGTATAATATGTCGCTGAAACCCAAACTAAAAAATTAATCCAACAAACCTGAAACAGAAACTAAGTTTGAATGTGATGCTTGCCAAAAACTAAATGGCAACTAAACAGGATGCTTGTAATTTTGGAATTCGTGACAGCGTTTTTGTGGTTCCCGGAGCATTCAACACACGTCATTAGCGTTCGCGCATAGCGGAGCATCTCCCCCTCCGTGATTTAACACCGGATGCGAACAAGAGCGTGGGACGCTATTGTCGCGAGCCAATTTGTTATCCTGAACACCCCCCAGGGCCGGGCGCACCAGCGCCTCGTAGGTCGAGTCAAAACCAAGACATAACTCCCCCGGGCAAGGCACGCCAGCGCCTCGTAGGCCGAGTCGAATCGAGACATAATACATAACTCCCCTCAGGGCGGGGCGCACAAGCGCCTTGCAGGTCGGGTCAAAACCGAGACATAGCACATAACGTCAAGAACAACAGAGGCGGAGTGGACATGATGCCCATCATCGGCTGTCAGGTTATTTGGCCGCGGATAAAAGCGATGAACAGAACATTGCATAATAACTTTCGAAGTTGCTGCTTATGTAGCAGTATAAGCCTCCTTTTGTGGTCAAAACGGAGAGATGAGCATTGACATCATGCCGACTTTCCTTTTAGATAACTATTATCAGGCAGAAAGTGAGGCCATTTAATGAAATGACCATTTCAGATGCTGAATGAGTAACACATCTGCATACCGTTCCAAAGGAGATATACATGATGTGGATGCAATACAATTAACCGTCACATGGAGTCCGTAATTCCCTGTAAATTACGATTATAGCGTCACAATGCTACTGACATACAGCCATTTGAATTCAGAGGTACAGTTCCTTTACAGGTATGTAAAATAGATATATATAGATAATATATAGACAATATAGATATAGAGATATATATATCTCTCTCTCTCTCTCTCTCTCTCGCTTCTCTTCGCTCTCTCTCTTCTCTCTCTCTCTATCTCTCCTCTCTCTCTCTCTCTCTCTCTCTCTATCTCTCTCTCTCTCTCTTTTTCTCTCTCTCTCTCTCCTACATATATATATATATATATATATACAGGTGAGACATTTTGATTGGATGGATTTAGGATCAAAGTTAACGGTAAGCAGCATTTCATCTCAGCCACAGCCACAGTGACATAAACCCACCAACCCTGGGACGGGTAAGTTGAGAAGCAAACGTTCTAACCGGGGCTGCGGGGCGGACACTGAACTGCAGGGGGGGGGGGGGGGAGAACAAATGCGAGATTGGTGTAAGCATAGTGTAGTCGCATTTGAATTTAACGACATTCATTTCATCTGTTTAGTGACGTTAAAAGTCAACATTGAACATGGCTCCAAATTAAGTGAGTTGTTCAGTGTATTAGCGAAGAACATTATTCACATAGATAAGACAGCAGTAATAGTCTTATTCCTCGGAGAAAAACCAAGAGAATGGAGATATAGGTGGGTTGATATTTCGATAAAGGCATGCTGCAGAAACATCAACCCACCTATATCACCATTCTGGTGTTTTTTATCGGAGGAATAAGGCTATAACTGCTGTCTTATCTATCTGAACATGGCTCCTGTACGTAACCACAAAATGACAACGCCAGTGGCACTCACGACAGAAGCTCAACGCAGACCTCGTTGTGGACACCTTATTTTCATACACTGCCACCACATATCGATGACCTGGTGATGTTCTCATCTGGTCTGTGATATCATACGGCGCTGAAGTAAAGCATCTCGTAACGTGATTTGCACAATTTTGCGTGCACAGCGCCCGTGCGAAACATGAGACAGAACGTGTTTGTACACAGACGCATAGCTGTCTCTTATGAGCTCTGCGTGCCACAGTGTGTGCAACTTTTTAGTTTGGTTAAAGCCCCGCTGCTGATGTCTGACTCCATTGCTGTCGGGTCGGTGTTACCGCCCAGTTCCGGCGGGCCGGTGCCGCCCGACTACCGGCCCCCGCTGCTGATGTCTGACTCCATTGCTGTCGGGTCGGTGTTACCGCCCAGTTCCGGTGGGCCGGTGCCGCCCGACTACCGGCCCCCGCTGCTGATGTCTGACTCCATTGCTGTCGGTGTTACCGCCCAGTTCCGGTGGGCCGGTGCCGCCCGACTACCGGCCCCCGCTGCTGATGTCTGACTCCATTGCTGTCGGGTCGGTGTTACCGCCCAGTTCCGGCGGGCCGGTGACGCCCGACTACCGACCCCCGCGCACATAACGCAGGTCCTGTTGCGGACGCCATATAACAATAGGTTTTGGGTCCGCAGACCGATAACTGCGACCATGCTCCCTGCAACGGGTATCTGCAACCGTGAGTACAGGTGCCCCAGCTTTCGTTCGCAATGGTGGTGATTTTGGGGCGTGCTATCTGGCAGAAGGTCTTGTTTTCACTTCAAACAGCGCTGTTCATGTCCAGCTAGCATCGATTCGTCTAGTGTTTTTCTCGATCGTCCGAAACAGCAAATCTTGCGCTGTATCTGTGTACGAAAGTACTCACCACTTTCCAGAGAAGCTTAAGTAATCCATTTAATGTTAACTGTTCATTCAAAGCCCATATTTTGGAAGTTTGATAAATTTTATGAATGCTGATATATATCACCATACATTTTGGCACTAGTACAACCGACTTGGAGGTTCGAGTACATCTGGCGAACCACATCCAGCTTTCACCAGTACTTACAGTAGTATTTTTTCGTGCAAACTGGGTGAGACTTCCGAGCTTTCACGTACAGCAAGAAAAAGCTGACGCAAAGCTATAAGGACGTCTCTTAGGACATTCATCTGGCACGCCTGCTGTGCGATGCCGAAATACATTTTGTAATGACCCATGTTTGTCATTTGGAATTAGGGTCATTAGGGTCGTCACCTAAAGTATCATTCAGAGGTCCTCTTTCACCGTTTGAAGACCACCTGAGACCACGCGGGTGCCTCGGTCGGTTAGAGTTCACGAGCACCGAACAGAGGGCTCCTTGTCAGTCTGAGCCCTGGGGGCCCATTTCCCAAGCAGGAACAAGGTTAGGGGCCACGACTTGCATTGGTATGGGTCCCTGAAAAATGTTTGGGGCCTCTAAGTCGGTCACAGGTCCACAGCGCCTAACAGGGGGTCATGTGTTGGCTAGTGGCTCAGACTCGGTCACAGGCTTTGTTTGAGGAGGTCCGAAGAGGGACGAGGGGCCTCTCGGGAAGAAGGACGAAGGGCCTCATTGGAAAGCTGAAGGGCCCGAAGAGCTCGCTGTAGGTCACATTTAGTACCCCCACCCGTGGGGCCAAGATCTCAAACGTCAGTTAGAGTCTCTTGCACAGATTGCGGACCCCTAAAACAGGTCACTCTCGTATTTTGGTCAGAGATCATTAACCCTGAAACCCCTGAAAACTGGCGCTGAAACAGGGCATTCCTACATTTTGGCCCAGAAATCACCAACACCGAACAGTCCGCCACGTGCCAGTCTGAGCTATTGGGGCCCATTGTCCCAAGAAGAGACAAGGCCGGGCTCGCGATATCTATTGATTGAGGCCACTGCAACCACGTGGGGTTTCCGTTTCGGTCAATGGCCCAGTTTTACTCAAGAATACCATTTGCTCAACAGGGACGGGGACAGGATCCCGAATGACAGACGACTTCTTGCGTTGGTCGTGCCCCTCTGCCAATAAAAGAAAACATTTCAATTTATGATAAGTGTCCACGTTGAGGCAGTGGAAGGGTCCTGTACCAGTCAGGGCCCCCGGTACCGAACGGCGAGCCCTCCAACCCAATTCCAGCATGAGCCTGTTAAGCTGAACTGGAGTCTATGTGCCAACTATCAGACCACTTGCGGCGATCAGGGATATTGCTGCGTCGCGTTGCTCCGGGGCCAACTGCGCGGGTCGTTCCTTTCCCATTGGTCCCATTCCAACTCGTTCCTCATCAGAATGGGACCAATGTGATATGATGTGCCCCTATAAGGGATGCATTGCTTGGGGATCTCTGGGACACTGCGGACCTCCCTTTCAGCAAGAGGCCATATACATCCAACAGGCGGCTCCGTGTCGGTCTGAGCGCTGGGGGTCCATCTCCAAGATTAGTCATGCCGGACAGGTAATTTCTATTAGCTGGGGTGAAACGAATTTTATCACAAGGTTTGAGCCTGCGTGCTCGCAATCTCGGAACCAAGGATAGCGATTGTCTGGATTGTAGTTTCCGTGAAGCAGAACGGTGCTTACCACTGTGGGTAGCACCAGACGGCGGGCGTCGTGCGCTCGATAACAACCGTCGTGAAATATCCCTTCCGAATACCTTATTTCAAAAAATAAAATTCAAAATTCGTATCATTCAATGATCATGCACACACATATTTATAGTTTTTAAGTTCTCCTCTAGATATGCTTAAAGTAACAGCAACACGGAGAATAGAGATTCTACCTTTACTCTTCCAGTTCCATCACCCGATTCCAACATTCCAACGCCAATGCGCGGTGCTGTAAAAGCCAAATCGTTCTTATCATCAAACCAAAAATCGCGTAGGTGAAATATACTACCTTCTGTGTAGATGTGTCACTTGATGTCCCAAAGCGTTCAAAGATGCCTTTTTCAAATGAGCCATCATTTTCGTCCACCCGTTGGCCACAGCTGAGTAGCCACGGGGCCACAGCCACGGGGCCAACGCTGCACGGCATGAGGAAACTGCAACGCCTGGCTTCGAGTTTGTTTTTGCTAGGATCCACGAGCGCGCATGCTCAAAACTACGTTGCATCATTTGTGCCACTTATCAATTCTGACTAAATGTTGAACTTTTCCAGGCAAACATCGTTTGGCGTAATCAAAACAAACTGCTGCCCATTTCGGTCTACATTCGCGGGCTCCTGAAGGCCTCTGTGGAACCCAGATAAAAATTCTGAAAAAGCTTCCGAGTTATCTCAGTTCAGGAGTTAATTGGACCATCGTATAATGAAGAGGGCTGGTGATACATTTCATGCAATCGCTTCACGCATGATTTCTTCAGTGTGTTGACTATACAATGCAGGCAGAATTGATTTCCCGATAGCTTCTGGCTTCCATTCCAGTCATAGAAGATGCAAATGAAAATACGAAAAAAACATGCTCGCATCAATAAATTGGCCGCATCCAGCGATTTCTGGTGGGAACTTTCACTTTCAGGGAGCCCTTTGTCAACCATGTGCCCCCTACCAATGCCCTGGCTACGCGCCTGCGCCAAGGGCACACGTCGTGAGCTATGGCAAATATTTCCGCGTGAGCAACCCCGGACCTGCAGCAGCCTGCGATCCTAGGCGATGCGTCAATGTTCATTAGACTCGTTCGTCATGCGCCAAGCAAAGCACCACTCACAGTGTTGAAGGCATGGCATGCACACATGTAAGTATATGTATATATGTATATATATATATATATATATATATATATATATATATATATATATGTATATGCATATATACGCAGTTAGCAGCCCCCCTCCCCCCTCTAAAAGCGGGTCGTCCATGTCCGTGAGCCCGGCCGCAGCACATTTGACAAGTGGAGGGAGAATCGGTTCCACGTGCGAGGCCGACCAAGCTGGTCACCCCACACCTCCCCAGAGGATAGCCGAGTTTTAACTCATGTTCCGCAAGGCCGACCAAGCCGGTCACCACACACCTCAGAGGGAAGCCGAGTTTTAACTCATCTTCCGCGTGCTGCCTTGCAAAAGCGACATCCTCTGGCTCCGAAACAGATGGTTACTCTTAAGGAGCTAGCGGCGGAGACAACGCACCCTTATTGGACCATAAGCACGAGACGAACAGCGGGGCACAGGATTGCTGACGTTAAACCCTTTTTATCCAACGTCCATAGCATGCGCCACTGCCGGCAGACACGTGGCAAAAGGCATCTGTAATACCCTCAACCCTGAATTGTGCTTCATCCCTAATTGTTTTGACCAGCTAAGTTTTCTTCAGGCGTTCGGTCACCGCGCAACCATAAACAGGACGACAAAAAAGAGCGATGTATTATCAAAATTTTACATTCCCAACTCGTCAATTTCTAAAATGCCTTCGTGCAGATGGAACAGCCTCTACAGTCGATAACTGACGCATGGCCACGTGTCACGAACATACACGACAAAAACATCGTCCCAACAACACACCCGTGGCACCTTACCCACCATACAACAGCACCCTTCAAGTGTGCCCTGACGGCCAGATCCGAAATTGTAAACAAGTGGGAAGATGTCATGTCTGAGGACGACAGCTGTTGGCAAAGGGCAGGTTCAACGCACGCTCCAACATGCACATCAAAACGCCCCTCTCGAGGAGCTCAGCAACGCTGCACTGACAGCTCAGGTACAGCTCTGCTGCTGGCTTTTACTGGCACTGATCTGCGGGACGTTTCCAACATTGACATCTTCCCTCCGAGGATTTTTCTTGCTGAGAATTTCGTAGCAGTAAGTCTGATATATGGTGTCATCAAGACAGGTTTTGTCGCGCACGTAGCCACAGGACTTGAAGAAGTTGTTGGCCACGTCGTTGTGCTTCAGGACCGTAAGCCGCACATACAGCATCTGCTTCTTGAACGCCATCAATTCCAGGATCGACATCATAAACTTGCCGAGTCCGCTCCGCTGGTACGGCTTCGTCAGCTGGATCTCATAGCAGTAGACCACCTCGTCGTCATAGTCGAGGTCGAAGCGGAAGTGACAGAAGGCCACGATCTTGGAGTCGCCGTCGCGCGCCACCAAGTACTTGGCCATGCTTTCCGTCATCTCACCGCGCTTCTCCTTGTCGTTCCAACCCCACTCGCACGAGTTGTAGAGGGCGCGCATGTTGTCGCGGCAGATGGTCAGCATGGCGTCCAGCTCGGCATCGCTCAGGTCACCCACGTTGCGGTGCTCAAGGGCGACGCTCACGCCGCGCCGGTCATATCGGCGGAACGCGGCCAGCTCGGCCATCAGGTCGGGCACACTGTTGGCCAGCTTGACTAAGCTCCCGGAGGCAGCCAGCCGCTCCTTCTCGGCGCGCCGCGCCATCTTCCGCTGCCGCGCCTTCTCGCTCTCCCTGCCCATTGCGGCCCCTCAGCTGAATCTGAAACAAATGGAACTTGAGTTGGCACGAACATGCCTCATTGGCCGTTCCGGCGACTCGGTTGGTTAGAGCGCCTGCCTTCCCATCCACCCAACCGTGGCAGGATGGGTTCGACTAGCTTCAGGGCGCTCGTTATTTGCCCTTGGCAGGTATGGCCTGCGGCCGATGGCAGCGGTCGCGCTAAAGACTTGACGTCGGAGGGCAGGACGGACGGTGCCGAGCATTGCAGCACGTTAAGCTTTTGCCACTAAATTCTGCCATTGCCTGGAATTGTGCAATCGGACAGTGGGGGTCAAGGCTCACACAACAAGCACTGCTTAGTGTGCATGCTGATCCCACAAATCTATCCATTCAAAGGGTTTGAATCAAATTTATAAAAAAACAAAATTGTTGGACAAACACTTCCAGCAGCCAAGCCTACTTGTTGAGACATTTTGGAAATTATGTGCAGGCTTGCATTACCAGTAGTCGGCACACACAATTGTGCACACATCCAGACATGAGCCTGGGTTGCAAAAATTAGTTGTATGTTTTCAGGCATTTCAATGAAGAATGCCATGGGATCTAGAATCCACCAATGGGGCTGAACTTGGCACATGTCTCAAAAGCATGGCTTTGCCAAGCATCATCTGCAAAACTTTTTCAGTTATCATCAGACCAATGAAAGCTGCAATAGTGCTAAAGCCATGATGTAGGAATAGAGCAGAGGGAAAAAGGTGCAACTGGTGACAGACAATGGCACAATGCAGAAATAGGCAAATTATTTTTGTAAAATCTTGGCACATAACTGCTGCTGAATCTTCTTCATGATGGTAAGGGGGGTACAGGCACCCATGCACATCTACCAAGAATGGAGAAATTAATCATTTTTCAATGCTATGTTGGCACTGCTACACATCTGCATATGTTGCTGCAGCTGCTGCACATGTTAATTTTAAGGCATGAGTCAGTGCGGATGCAGCTTCTTTGCTCCTGTTAAGCTCTGAATATTCAAAAGTCATAATTCATAATTCACATACCAAGTGCACATCAGTGCCTTGCAACAAAAGACATATAAAGGTAAAACAAAGTGTAAAAATAGGTAGGTTGAAAGCATGGTTTGTTGCATATCATGCAAGGAATTTTGAACCAACAGTGCACTAAAATATTTTTGAGCAGAAAAGCTTTTATATGTGCCAACCCATATCAAAATTATGTACAAAAACACATTTTTCAGATTTATTGAGAGAAACCATTCTTATAGCCCTTACTAAACACTGCCATGCAACAAAGCTCACAAACATTCAAGGATGTGGGAACCAGGGGAAGTGGAAACACCTCACCCCTCTTCTTAAAAGCTGGGAGATGGAAGTTAACACTCCCCCAAACTGCAGGGCATATGGAGGACCCATTCTGGGTCCGGAATGATACTGCTGATTCTGAGCCATACCGGGGTTATGTCAGCCAGAAAGTTAATTCTGACCTGCTGGGGCCATTCTTGCCTATTTAGAGTCCATTCAGACCAAAATGGGGCACTTCTGAGCCTGTACATTACTGATTTTGGCCTACAGAGAGTCCATACCTGACTGGAGGGTCCATTTCAGCATGAAAGTGCCTATTCTGGGGACCAATTAATGGCTTTGACAATCATGTTTTGTTGTTAAATTGATGGGCCACACTATGCACATTGCTGTCAGGCAATAAGGCCAGCATCAAGCTCACTAGCCATGGTGGATGGGCACCATGCAGGTAACAATGTTGTTAGAAAATGCACAGCAAAATCACATACTGCAAGCCCCCACCCTAACCTGCAGCTATCATAAAGTAACAGCATCTGGAATTTGGTTTCAGCAGTCGGGGAAAACAAAAATATAAAAACACAGCTTGTAGAGAAAACAAAACAGTGTGGCAGATTTGCACCATGTACACTACTGGTACTGCAGGACATTCATTAACAGTAGTTGACAGTAAATACCCTGCACTAGCTCATCTCAGTAATTGCCAAAGGCTATTGAAGATTGACTGCTTATACTTCTTACATTTCCTAGTTTCCTAAGTAGGTACTTTACTCCTAAGTATATAATTATTCATCTTGAGTTCAATTTGTAAGGTGTATCAATTAGTCATTGGAAAACAATGCTTAAAATATTGTGCACCTGTTTGGAAATAACCCAGGACATATCATCACAACTTTGTGATTGCACAATCTTGCAAGCCACTAAAACATATATGTGGGCATCTGGCACATACCAGTTAGTGTAGCTCCCTACCAGCCAAGGTGCCATCTTTCTCACCTGAGGGACAAATGATGAGGCCACGTCATATCCATATAGGCTTCTACTGACTCAGATATATCAAGTTTGGATACAGGGATGTAGTTTCCTTCTCAGCTTGATGGGACTTTAGCCTACCCCCACCAACTTCGAGAAGAAATTTGGTCAAATTCAGGGGGAGAGCATGGTTTTCAACATTCATTTACGCCCAACATCGTACGCATATGCTACATCTACTCACCAACGTTCAGCCTGCTACAATACTATCCACAGCGTATGACGCTGAACTGAATCCACAACAAGTCTTTATATTCTCAAGCAATCCCACCGTCACCGCTCCACGCCGCCTGCGCGCGACTCTTCAAAATGAACGTCAGAAACTCAGAATGCTACAGAAATGGCGCGAACGGAGTGGCAAGCTTCAAGGACAGAGCTGCTCAGTAGTTTATCGATTTTGCTATTGCATTTCTAGGCTCTATGATTTTGTAGAAATTATTTTCCTGCAAAACCCGGCTCAAACACGAAGCAAATTAAAAATCAATTTCTTATTCTAATATAAAACCAAAAGTTCTTCCCCACGGAGAACAAAAACCTGCTTCACCTCACCTTACTTTACCTAATGGTGATCGGGAATTCAAAGCTGATCAAGCTCTAAACTCACGGTGATTTAGTGACGGCGCTCTGTAGATGGACATAATAATTGTACGTTTTTAATTCACTGCCGGGTACCAGTCTTGTCGATTCTGGTCTTTCGTGGCAAAAGGCTGAGGCCCGGCCCTAGTCGAATCTAGTCACGCGGCGTTTCAAAGTGCCTGATTTCCGGAACGGATGGGGACAACGGACCGGGACATAATTCCCTCGTTTGCCAAACCCTTCCCGACCGCCCGCTGTGACAGGTAGGGGTCGACCCCCTCGGGGCCCCATCCGCTGGCCGGACGAGTGGGTCCGGCCCGCGCGTGTCCCACCCGGGCGCCGTCCACAAAACCTTTACCAAACATATTTTTTGGTGGGTTAGTTGTCCTTTGCGCAAATTTGCTGTAATGTTCGTTTATTTGTTTATTTAGGACATTAGCATTTCCCAGACAAAAGCCCAATTACGGCAGAAGTCCGGTTTTACGAACAATAAATATACGATGCACACACAAACAAAAAACCTAGCCACACACACACACACACGCACACACACACACACACACACACACACACACACACACACACACACACACACACACACACACACACACGCACACACACGTACACGCACACGCACACATACACGCACACACACGCGAACGCACACGCACACACATAGCCGCGGATCAAATCATGAATAAAATATTCCACGTGTGCCGGCGAACCTAAACAAATCAGATCGGAATGATTTTGTTGGATGAAAAAAGTCAGTGAAGGAAAATGCTGCAAAAAATTGATTGCAGGCAGCGGGCAGTCGTGAGACCAATCCATTTTCAACAGTGGCTTTCAACCCTTGCAAATGGCTGGTGGAAACGGCCGATATGCCAAATACCCCGGAAGGATGTAGCCAGACTGAACAGTGATGTCAAGTGAGCGTAGTCAAACCTGTGCTGAAATACGTTGTATAAAAATGAAATGTCAGACTGAGTGAAGCGTATCTTGATAGATGATGTTTTGAAGAAAGCAAGAAGATGCTCATAATCCAGCGGAGGAACCGAGACTGGCTACTCGAACCCAACCATGTGGGAAAGCGGTGTTGCAGTCTTTCGAACCGGGTGAGATGAGAAACGGCAGCACCGCTCCAAATAACGCTACCGTACTCTATCAATGGTCTCACATGAGCGTTGAAGGCACAAAGCAAAGCCGTGTGATTGAACCGCGCCTGGCGAGGACACGACGGCATTTGCACGCTTCGCATGAGAAGGCCCAGCATCCTATCCGCTTTTGAGACAGCTGAATCTATGTGCCTGGCAAAGGTGACTTTGGTGTCCAGCGAAACGCCAAGATCGCGAATCTGCTGGCAGCTATCCAAGCGGTAACCGTCTAGTGCGTATGAGTAGTGAACAGATGACGTGCGGAGGGTGAATGAGATGGTATCGCACTTAGCTCGGTTCAATTTCAGTCCCCAGTTCTTGGACCACTCACAGAGGCGATCCAAATCCGCCTGAAGTGTAAGACAATCTGCTACATTGTCGATTCGGTGATGAATTTTCACATCCTCAGCCTACGTAAGGCACTCACTCTCGATTTGGTCAGGAACATCAGCCAGAAGGCAGGCGAACAGCAACGGCCCTAGCAGACTGCCTTCCGGGACACTAGATCGCACTGGAATCCAGTCAGACTGTTTGCCGCTGAGCACTGCACGTTGTGAACGATTGCTGAGGTACGACTCCAGTCAGTTGCACGCTTGGCCAGTGATGCAAAAAGAATAGCGAAGCTTGTGCAGCAGACGGAGGTGCTTCACGCTGGTGAATGATGAAGAATAATCAGTGTAAATTGCATCTGCTTGTTTATCTTTTGAGATAGATGTGCAGCAGCGTTCAAGAAAACATGAAAGGTTTGTGATGCAATAGCGCTTTGGAAGGAGTTCGTGCTGGGATGACAGAAGGGCGGGCAGACAAACCTGCGATAGGCTATCGCTCACAAATTTCTCCAGTATTTTTGAACAGCTAGGAGGCAACGACACAGGCCTGTAATTTCCAGGCAGCTTTTTGGACCCCTTCTTACGCACCGGTGTCACATTCGCTTGTTTCCACATGGCAGGGAAGACGCTAGAGTCTAGAGAAGGCTTACATATTATTACTAACGGAATAGCTAGCTCCTCAGCTCATTCCCTGAGAATCCGAGCACTGAGCCCGTCGGGACCACAGGTCTTGTGTGCACTGAGATCGCGTAACAAGCGTGCTACACAGCCATGTGGTACGGTAAAGCTGTTAAATTCAGGCGCATCGAGCAAAGGTGGGTCAGGCGATATACGAACATCAGGGTCACAGAACATACGAGCAAAACACATGTTGTGTTAGAACATAACAATACCTTCAGCATGTATATTTCGGATTTTCCAACACAGGCGTGGTTAGTTACCTAGCGTCAGGTCAATTTTCAAATTTTGTCGCAAATCATGTAATTTTGCACGCATTTTGTGTAGATTTGGTGTTTGCATGCGAGGAAAATAGCACGATCTCGTATGCACAGCGATCATATGAGCAAAGAGCGCATCATTGCCTTGCTCGGGTCATGACCTACCTCTATCAATACCTTCTGCAAAACACATGCTGAGCCCAACGCAGGCAGCTTTTGCGATAATTTTGGGTACCAAATATGAATGCTCCATTGAAAACATGTGATATAATTATAATGCATAATGAGCTCACAATAGGTCCGTGAGGACATGAAAGGTCATGTGAGATCATCCAAGCTCAATGTCCCCGGTCGTCGGTAGCGGAGAGGCTAGATGAACGAGTGCGACGCGTGCAACCACACCCATATCGTGTTCATGAAACTGATGACGTAAAATCCCATGTAGCAACGTGCCCTTTGCCAGTTTGTTACAAATACATTACCAAGCGTCCAAGGTTTTAGGTGCAATGTTTAAAACAACTACGCGATGCTGAGTATCTGTAGATGTACAACGCACTATTTCTGGCCTCACAAAACCATTGCACTGGTGGCACGGACCCGGTGACCATTTTAATTTTGTCAATTTGGCGGCTTAGGATTTGACCTTAGTTGAGCTCAGCTGACCTCTAGGTCATCTTAAAATGATTGGGTGCTTTTGTCTCACACCTGCACCTAATAGATTAAGCTTGAAGGACATTGCGAAATAAAACTTTCTTGCTTTCGTTTGCATAAATATTTTTCATCGCTCCAATTTTCAGCAATGGAAGGGTCCTCCCTCCAATGTTGAGCGATGACCGGTATTACCATACCTTTGCGAGGGGACAGAAATGGTCGCAATGGATTTCTCACAGACTTAACGCGCACATCAGTGGCGTCAGTATCCGTCCTGACGTGTTAACATATGCTCGAAGCGCGTTTATCAGAACGACCGCTTTGATACATTTCGTGATCTCTAGTGACCTCACAGTTGACCTGAGGTCAAAAATTTAGGATGCAGTCTTCATGATTTGACGGGACATTCACAGCAACTTTTTCTCTTACGTCATCCGGAAGTTTGAGATCCTGGAGGGGAAATCAGCTTTCCCCCACACGCGCGCGGTCGTCTCAGACGCGCGGGTGGGCGTAGGTTAAAGGGGTAGGCTTGAAATTGGTACCAACAGCATGTTGTTTCAGGTTTGATACATAGCTCATGTACCCACAGGCTTGCCGCAAAAACGGTTTTCTCAAATCATCAACAACTTTTGTCGCGCTTTATCCCTGGGATCTAGTTCAGCCTGCCATGAACACAGCTGTTGTAGGATCGCACAACTACTTATATCATCTATCGATGCAAGACGATTTGCCAGCATATGTCTTTTGCCATCCATGTCTTTGTAGGCATGCAAGCGAGCAATGTCGTTTGAAGATAGACGATTGCTTCATTTGTAATCGGTACAGCCAGCTTATTTGCCGTTCCCACGCATTCGAAAACGATCGGATCGTATCAAAGCTATCCCAATCAAAAACTGCAATGAACAATTTTGGAAATCCACTTATCCGGTGTGAATCCGGTGCGGTGAGGAAACAAATCCGATTATCCGGTGCGGTGAAACACACTGAGCCGCTGCTAAATACTGCTCGGTGCGCAGGTTAGTTTCATTAACTAAGCTCTGCCAGAACCTACTATCTCAAACATATTTTCTAGCTGTCCATCAAAAGGTCTACCTCTGAAGTTCGGCGTCACGCCAGGGTCTCCCCGTCCCCAATAGAACTCTTAAAGTAGGCACAACAGAAGCGGTGCAAACTGCAACTTAGCTGAACATTCCGACAAAAAACACGTGACGTAAAGGTTTGGAACGCATGCCAAGTCATTAACGCGATCTAAGCATGACCGACATGAGTGGTGACGGTGTCCATAAAGATTTTCCGTCACAATACCTGTTATATCTCTGTGGAAGAGCAAGGAACAGCTCAATATTTACAAAAAAGTGTAATTAAATATTTTAAGTCACAGAGATTGTTGGATTGTTCATTGACTGACGACGGAAGCTGTCCCACAATGACTTCCCTCACACTTGTGACATTGTACAAGCAAATGCAGAAGAAACATATTCATCTAACGTGAATAACACTGCTGATGATAGTAGAGTTACTATACATTATGCGGTGCTGTTCCGTCGCCATGCAAACATAAGCTTTACTGCTGGCTTGTGAGTTTGCTTACCAATGCTGGCCTGGCGGCTTAAAGGCCCGTAAACATTTTAAGAACAGGCTGCAAAACAGATCCTGAACCTGACAGTCAAGCATG